CTTTGCGATATTCTAAGGATAACCTTATTATTACATGTATATCTTTTTCTGTACATAGTCATAACTCATTGAGACAAAATAGGGTTTGTGCCAATGTGATTATTTATCTTCAGGGATGGGATTCTATTCTTAATACATTGTTGCTATGCCCAATGTAAACAAAGGAAATTGAAAATTTGAGGTTGAGAAGCATACATTGAATAAATTTCCACTATATCACCTTTCAGATTGAGCAAACGACGACAACCTTTGAATTTGTTTTGAAACAGATTGTATTGGCTAATGCATCTCTGGGTCATCCATTGCATAGATGTGAAGACACATCTTTCCTGACCAGCTGATTCGTTACCTTGAATGTGTCACAACTAGAAGTAGACTAGACTATTTCAATATTAGGGAATTGCAGCTGGGACTATACCATCAGTGTTGTCTCAATTCAAATGCTCATAAAATCAAAACTTCAATTCTAAGGTAATCCATTCAACATTGTTTTAGAAGAATATTTATTAACTATAATTTCTGCATTCTGATTTGGTATATAGTGTTGCTATTAACAGAGTTATGACTCTTAAAACATTCATGCTGGATTTTCCTGGGAACAAATCTTAGCAGGCCCATATCAAATGAGGGCGTAATTTAATTAATGAAAACAATACGTCAAATGAGCCACTGCAGTAGTAGTATTAAACTAACCTGATATCAGTGGATATAGAGGATTGTGTTTCCCATTCACTATCCGTCATATCACTGTCATCCCAGTCACTACTGTCCTCACTCCAATCACTATCATCATAATCCTATAAAAAAATCACATAACAGTTAACTATGCAGTGTGAAGTCAATCAAAGAACAGGTGATCACGGGTGGCTCAATGTGTGATGTGAAGTTTAAACATGAACGGCTAAGGCATGTCAGCGATACAGCGTCAGAACAGCATTCATTAAAACAAAATAGCTACCATTAGACCATTAGAATCTGATCATTGAAAAAAAAAATGACACACATGTTCATCAAGGTTCTACAAGGTATGTATAACTGTAAACAAAATCCCTTCATACACAGTCAAGATCCAGAAGGGCAGAAATGCTAGTTTTTGGTGAATTTTAACATTAAAATAGCCATCTTCAATTAAACTGTGTGCATGTGGGCAAATTGATGTATGATGTATATATAAAATAAAGTTTCAACATGAACAGTCAAGGCATCTCAGAAATATGGCTCTTATAATAAAAGTGTGGCCTGAATGTGATAAATGAGGTGTGAATGCAAAAAAAAAATACATGTTCAGCAAAAGTACATAGGAATTTTTTGGACTGTGAAAAACAATTATGATATCTTTATTATTACTTACGTCATCTAACTTGAATAAATCCTGTGGTGGTACATTGGATGTTTCATTGTCATACCAGACTACACATATAGTACCATCTACATTCACCCATTTCACCTGAAATATATGATACATGTAGTTTAGTACAGGAATTCAGTCTTGATACCAGAATTGACTTACATGTATGTATACATTGAGGGCAGTATATTTGTATAGCAGACATGACATCAATGCACCGAGAAAATGACTCATCAGGTATCCAACAATAAAGGAATCAAGATAACGCTATGTAACTGAGATTACATATCAAATATCATTTATAAAAAAACTGAGCTAATATTAACAAATATTAACACAGCGTATGATAGAAACTTTAAAAAAGCAGTACTAAATACATGATTCTTTTAAAACTTTTGACTGTGTTTCAAGGTGTATAAAAAGAAAGATAATGGCAAGATTTCAGTATGCAAATTAACTCCATGATAATTCTCTGGTCAGATTGATTCGCGGAATCACTCTTTTTTGGACAATCAATATAGTCTTTTATCATATACTTGTATAACATGATTTCAACAATAACCCTGGTAGTAATTTTAAGTGTAATTCTCATCAAAATTGACAAGGCATATCTATGTTTAAAGTTATGCATTTCTTCAAAACGAGTGTCAATTTAAGTTTATTGAAATCAAAATAATACATCGTAATCCCAATTTTTAATCCCAATAGTGTACATGTATGTATTACGATAGAACACAGGATGGACATAGAAGGTGAATCATTAAAATTACATTTAGCATGACACACTGGTGCAATCCCAGGGTTTGCACAGCCATGCTTTAACAGCAGAAGTGGAAGTGGAAGATCCTCACCTGACCAGCGCATGGTACTTGATGACTGGAATCTTGGTCGTTGCATATGCCATGTAATCTACACACAACATCACCAACATTGAATGTGAAATCAGTATGTGGTTGTAAATCATATACACTCACTTCCTCAGAAGAGAGGCATTCGGGTCTGTGTAACGGTAGAAATAGTAAAATACAAATCATGAAATTTTGCAATATACTATATTTTTTAATTCCAAAAACCATTTATATTGGTTATTAAAGAGATTTGAACTTTTTTTGTAGATATTACATGAAATAAATAAATGAAAATGTCAACATAATAATTCATTTTTATTTAATATTGAGATTAAAAAGAAAATGCAGTGATTCAGATGTTCAGTTTCTAAGTTTTTTTAAATTACTTTTTTACTCCCAAAATAAATAATCAGAAATGTCCCATGATGCTACATGTAGTTGCCATTTTTGTCCTAAGCTAATTTTAAGATAACTGAAAATGAAACTACTGATTATTCTTCAATCAAATTGTGAGCATTCCATAATACAATGAAAGTGATGAAATGGACTTTCAGAGAAAAGAAAATGGGTGTTAGTTAAAGGACATGATAAGATACTCTTTTATAGAAATGCGTCAATTTTGGGATATAACAAAATATATCCCAATGGTTTCAACACAAGTTGTCAACAAACATTTATAATGTAACTACATACTTACAATGGCTGTGACTTTGTTGGTTTTCTGATCCACTTCACAGTGCAAGTTCTATCTTGATGATTTGCCTTGCTCACCAATCCGTACATATTCTCCCAATTCTCTATAGATAAAAACAAAGTAAAACATACCAATACAGAGGAAGCTATTCCTCTATTGAAATAGTGTTCACACTGAGGAATTAAACCCACAACTTATTGAAGTTTGATGTTTCAGTCTTCAGTGCATGTGCAATAAACAGATTTGCACAGGTTGACAATAGATTCTACTTATAACAGGGTTCTTTAAAAGAATATGGTACTACCCTGAACAAAACCTCAATCTGTCTGTAAATGTGTTCATTGCCTACACTTAACTGAGTTTTGACAAATGTATTTTTCTTCCTTTATAAACTAAATGAAATACAAAGATTGTGCCCTCAATAAAAAAATAAGCCAATGGCCTGCTGCTCAAGGGCTATTGTACAAAAGATTAGTGCTGTATATGACATACATTATACCTCAAAAGGCAGTGAGTTAGACAATAAAACATAATGCTAAAAGTGGAATTTTTTACAAAAATAACAGAAATATTCAATAAAATTAGAATCAAAGAGAGCTTAAAAAGACCTCCAGTGTGTTGAGAGAATAACATAACATTATCTGAATTCGTAATACATGTATATACCAAGTTTTGTTGAAATATGTTGAATGGTTCTTGAAATAGCACCCAATAGCTTGAATTTCACTAGCTGATATGCAAATTATCTAATTTGCATAAATTTCCACCAAAAACTAAATATATTTGGAAACTGCTCCAACACATCTATGCACCAAGTTTTATTAAAACATATTAAATGGTTTACAAGATATCACCAAAATAGCCTAAATATTGGTATGTAAATTAGGCAATTTGCATAATTTTCCACCGAAATCAATCATGCCTATACACATTTAAATATGTTGAGTGGTTATGTTCTCATTACAATCACAACAGACCAATCAAAGAAAACTTAGAACTCCCATGTCACATGTGCTATGTGAGAATGAGAAACAGTTGACAGAACAAATGGGAAACATTACATATCTCCCTGTGAGCATATAATTTCAGTATGGCATCATTGTATAATCTTCCCAAGTTTTGTTCATTTTCCAACAACTGTAGTGCATTAAGGAAAAGGTAATAAAAAAAATTCATAAATTCCTGAAATTTTTGATAAATTTGGCCACTTTTAGTGACTGGGTGAAGTGTCATCCAAGCTACATATGTACCAAGTATCAAAGAATTTGGACTACTGGTTTTGAAGAACAAGTCAAAAGTACTATTTATGATGAAAAATGACAAAATATTTGCTAAAAATAGAGAATTGAAGATGTCAACACAAAATGAACAAATCTGATAGAGGTCCACCCAACGTATATACCATGCTGGTTTGGGAGCAATCGGACTACCAGTTTCGGAGAAGAAGTCGAAAATAGCATTTTTGACCAAAAATAACAAACAAATATTCGCTAAAAATAGAAAATTGAAGATATGGACATGAAATGAACAAATCTGATAGAGGTCCACCCAAGGTATATACCATGCGAGTTTGAGCACAATCGGACCATCAGTTTCAGAGAAGTAGTTGAAAATAGCATTTTTGACCAAAAATTACCATTTTAATACTCGCCAAAATTAGGAGATTGAAAATTTCCTTACCAAATTAACAAAACTGATAGAGGACAACCCAAGGCACATGCACTATCAATATTCAGCACTGTAGACCACTTAGTGTCATAGTAGCATAGAAGAAATTTTAGAGTTTTGGGGGGCTAATTTGTATAATTTTTGCCAGATCGACACTCATCAAGGCATCCACACACCAAAAATTGAATCAAACGGTTCAGGGGTTTTTGAGAAGAAGTCATGCACAGACAGATAGTAAGACGGACGGATGACAGACGCAGGACAGATACCCATCCCATAGGCTTAGCGGACCTACATATGTATGGTCAGTTGAGCCAAAAACTTAAGCATTAATTATAAACCAGTGAAAAAATACAAAAAATAAACATGAAGGGCAAAATGAGAGTACTGTAAATGCTTGTATCATTTCTGACCAAAAATGATGGGTATCAGTAATTACATAGAAAATTTATTAAAATTCATGTTCCTCAACTAAATACTACATGTACTGTATTTGTATTTGTATTTGTGAGACATAACAAAAAAAATGCAGCCAGTGATACATTTCAAAAATAAAAATACAAAATAAACGCAATCACGCGCGTTGGAAATAAATAGAACACATTGTGACACAGTCTCACCAGCCTCTTTCACTCACGCAATATAATTATGCTATTTCCCAACACACTTTTATTTAATACATTGACGAAAAACACCCCCAAAAAAATGTAATGTAAATGTAACTCAACTCGAACGCAATATTCATCACTGTAAAATTGGATAAATTCGAACCAGCCAGCTCATGACCGGAGACGTCCGGTTGTCTTCGTTGATAACTCGCCAATTCACCACAATCGTGGTTGTAAACTGTTTAGGTGATTTTTCAAAAGATGGATATTCAATGCATATTCATCCAACTTATTTGAATATTCTTTTGGAAATTTGAGACATTGTTCAAAAAATCCTGTGCAGGGATATGTCTGATGTCAACTAATAATACGCAATTATCCAGGCAGTACTAGAAATTATTGCTGATACTAATCATGTTTTGTATTGGGAAGTTGGATACTTGAACGTGTAAGTCCACGGGTGTGTGGTAGACGAGCACAATTGTACTGTCATATGTTTTTCATCTTAGCCTTGTCTTTTTGTCTTAACCGTCGCAGTCCGCTTCATTGAAGGTTTATTTTCAATTGATAAACATATATTCAGTGTGAGACTGTTGCTTTCAAGTTGTGTTAATATAAAGATGATTTAAACTTGTGCCTTCCGTTGCCAACGTATTAAATATATGGAAATAGCATGTGTGTGTGCGTTTGCGTGATTGAAAGATGCAGGTGAGATTTCTCATCGCAACGCGTTCTATTTATTTCCAACGAATGCAAGTTCCCAAATAGTATAGGTACAAAAATCACTACAAACATTTTGGTAGGACAAGCATCCATGACTTAATGATTTATACTACATAATGAAAACAACATATCAGTATATTACACATATCTGATTGACAGATCTTAGAGAGCATATTACTAACAAATGATTCTCATGATTAACAGTATAAAAGTCTTCATTCTGAGCACTTATTTCTGGAAAATGTTACTTGCTGATAAAATTGAACTTGACGTCCATTAGTAACCAATTATATGTCATTGTTATGCCAAGTGTAAATTAAATCAGGTCAACTTATAATGTTGATTTTTGGTGTTTTAGTGGCAACAAATGTTGGCAATCAGTCAAAAGTCAACAAAATGCAAAACAAATGGATGTCCATATTATGTAAACCATTATCACTTGTCTTTGTACAAACTTTAACAAAAGTTGTCCAGGCATGTTTGGGAAATTGTGATAAACAGGCACACAGAACCCAAAGAATAAGTCTCCATATGAGACTACGTACATACAACAGACACTACTAAATAAAGCTATGCTTCAAACATATAAACATAATGCTTCACTTGCCATGGTCACTTTTACTGACAAAATCACCAGGAAAGAATTCCAGTTCATCTAACTGGTGTGTGGGAAACAAATCAGATGATGAGATGCCTTTCTCTAAGACACCATCCTAGAAACAAACAAACAATGAATAATAAGAAACATTCACTAAGAAGTACTTTCCAATCATGTAGTCAGCAATATTTTTAAACATATGAAATGAAACACAAGGAGTCATACCTGCCATTTAACATCGACCACTGTCTCAGTGTGTGTTACTTCAATGCATACTACATCACCAACATAACACTGTTCAGGTGGCTGTACTTTCTTTCGTCTACTTCCTCTCATTCTTATAACCTGATTTCTGTGCTTCATTAATGAGCTTGAAATGACCTTATTTTCCTTTCTACATGTCACTGATCCTTGGGAAGAAGTGATAGATTTGATGGATCCTACTTGGCTGCTGTTATCATCATCATCATCATCTTCATCATCACCATCTTCATCACCTTCTTCCTCATCACTTACTTCCTCAGATGAAGATACATCAACTTTTTCGTTCACTCGTCTATCACATCTACGTTTACTTTTACGTCTGCCAGACTGTATAGCGGTTATGCCATGCTTGGCAGCCTCCAGTTCGTGCTTTGCCTTCTTGCACGTTTCGTTTAAATGTTGCATGAGATGTTTAGTCATCACCATGAGTTCTTGAGTGTTTTTAACCTCCCCAGACAACCTTTCATTCAAGACAATCAGCTCATCGACTTTTTCGTCATCCCGGTTACGTTGCACGCACACTCCACTCATCTGGTCTGTGAGATCATTGACCTTATCAAATATAGTACTAGCTTCTCGGGACATTTCCTCAACCAGCTGATCATGCAATTTCTCAAGACTGTCCAAATCATCACGAATTTGACTAGCATCTAGGCTAGTGATTTTTTGAGCACAGAGACTCCTGACTTTAGTTACGGTCTCCCTTATTTGTTTGGAGATACTGTACGTATTTGGACACAAAGCTGCAGATTGTTCAACAACATTCCCATTACAAGATGCTGCATTTGTTGAAGAATCTGATAGGTTAGGTTGCATTTCCACAACAACCAACGATTCAGAGTTAAGTTCAGCATCAGCTGCTGGGTCTGTTCTGTGCTCATTTTCAATCACAATTGCACTATCAGATTTGAGTTTTAAAATTTCAGAAATATCTTTATGTTCACAATGCCCGTTAACAGAGCTACCAAGTTTATCCTCTGTATTGCACTCTGAAGATTTTTGCAGTCCACTCTCACTACTTAATGAATGAATATTGGAAGATTTATCAACTATTTGAGATTCAGCTCCCACAGTGTCAGATTTGGTAACACTGTGTAAATCAATTTTATCATCATTAGCACCACTGTCACCATCACATTCCAAATCCCTGCTTGGCAGATTGACACACTGTGTAAATGGAGGAAAGGTAATGTCTTCTGTAGGTGTTGGAGGTCTCTGGTAACAGTAAACTGAGCCCAGAGCCACAGGCTGTGGATATTTCAAATCATTATCAGTGATTCTATAGAGTCCTTTATCGCCTACCTGAATACTGGCAGGCACAAAATGGTTTAAAGCGTGCAATCTAAGAAGAAAAAACAGAAATATACAATGTTAATTTCTAGATATGTTACTACGCCTACATGAAGATATGTTACTGAGCTATTATTATTTTTGCCTAGATATATTTCTGTACTACTATTATTTTTTGTCTAGACATGTTTCTGTACTACTATTTTTTTTTTGCCAGTCAAAATGCAGTCTGGTAAAGGTGATGACATTGACAAGAAAAGAAACAAGCAGCCAGTTGGCTGAGATAGCTCCGCTGTTAGCAATGCACATATCAATTAAAGAACAGAAGATATCATTAGAAAATGAACAATATGTATAGTATCAAAGCAACGGGACTTGCTGTTTTCAACAAGAATTCAAAAATATTACTTTTCACCAAAAATGACAAAAATAATCATCAAAATTAAGTAAATGAAGATATCACCACAAAATTAACAAATTTGAAAGAGGTCCACATATAGTCCCTATATATGTAATATAAAAGCAATCAGACTTTCAACAAGAAGTCGAAAATAACACTTTTTACCAAAAATGACAAAAATATTCACCAAAATTAGAGAATTCAAGATATCATCATGAAATGAACAAATCTAAGAGAGGTCTACCCAAGGTACATATACACCAAGTATCAAAGCATTCAGGCTTGTAGTTTTCAAGAAGAAGTCGAAAAAGTAAAACATTGACACGGACGATGACGGAGGATAATCACTTATATGATAAGCTCCGCTCGACAAAGTCAACAGCGGAGCTAATGAAAAAGTTCATGAGATACATGTATATGCAGAGCCTTCTGCTTCAACTAATTATAAAAAAAATACTCCATAAAAATACACATGTTGCAGCAAAATTATAGATTTCAAAGAGTTAAACAAGTCTTGGTAAATTGAGTTAAAATGCAAATTTACTTTTGTAATTCATCAGCTTTGACAGCTTTATTAGGTGGTTCCATCGGACCACTGTCCTCTTGACCTGAGTAACCTCTTGTTTGCCAATGTACATCTACACCTACTATTTGAACCTTGTAGGAAAAGAAACAAAAACATCAGTTGGGATCATGTGATAAAGAATATGCATACATGTACGTAGATATAAGGCTGCAAATTCTATTAAAACAGAGGGATGTTGCTTATATTACAGCATCTACACATATGGGAAATGAAGAATTGTTGGTTCTAATTTTTTTTTAAAGAATGGGTGCAGTTTTTAATGTAGATTTTATACAAAAATACATTGACCTGTACAGAAGCTGAAGTGATAACTTATGTGTCTACATCCAAGTAGGAGATGCTGCAAACTAAGTAGTACACAGAAAACTGACCTCCTCAACGACCACTTTGAAATTCTTGGTACTGCTCAGCACTGGTTGATGTCCTGAAAGCCATTCAGCTGATCTGAATACTCTAGCTGGGCCTGTCAGTACTTGACTTGGATAGAATGCTTCTCTGTAAAATACACAGTCCTGTAACAAAGGCATATCAATATCATACAAAGTCATGACCAACTTTTTAACTTATCAAATCATGATACATCAAAATTTATTGTTCTGTTTTGTCACATTCATTTCAATAATCAATGAAAGAAGTCATAAATTTATAATTGAATCAAAGTAACACAGTTACCAGATATACAAGAGATAAATAAAATAGATAATTTGTTGCAAAAGAATGATACACTGTATAAACCTCACTATAATGAAATCTTTGGAGGACACATACATAAGCTGTTATAATAGTATATCAAAGTAACCTTAGAAAAAACTCCTGTGTGCTGAGAATATTGTAGGCACATTGAAAATTAATTACCCTTCAAAACAAGAAGCTTGGCAATTATTATTTGTCTGCTATTTGAGATATACAACATGATCCATATTAATGAAGTTTTGATTTTACATCTGTGAATTGCAGTCCAATTTGTTCCAGAGCACCACTATCACAAATTCAATTTAACTCTGATTTTTTTAGATATCAGAAATTGGCTAATAATAATTAGATAATCAATATGCATGTTTGTCGCATACGACTTGTGTACCACTTCCGTGTGACTAAGAATGTTCTAGAACCGTACTGTGTCTGGGTGGAATTTTTAGAAACTGGTTGAATAGGTAATGGAACATTCTAGAAATTTGTAGTAAGTTCCAGACTCATTATGTATGCTGATGTAATGGTCTATTTATAGACAGTGTGGGTATATATAGGGGAGTTGTTCAGCACTGAGATTAGATTGGAGATTTCGTTGAATTGTGTTGGAGTTTAAGTATCTAGTTATTGGAGTAGTGGAGTTTTACCGAGTTATTGTACTTGATGTTTGCAGAGTATAATAATACCAGTACCAGTTGAAACCTCATCTGTTGACTCCGTGTTCGTATGTTATCATCGCCGCCGGGGAAGTCTTTATGTTACTGTTGCCATTTTGGTATTTGAACCATCACACCTGTACTATACCAATTACGGTAATATTAGGTCGCGTGTGACAACTGGGGGCTCGTCCGGGAGCAGTGGAGACATAGAAGACAACATGGCCAGCGGGATAATAGATATGTCGAAACAAGAGTTGATGGAGTGGGCGGATGAACTGGGAATGACTGGAGAAGACAAAAAGAAATTTATTTTGGAGCAACTGAGTTCTCAGCGAGCTGAGAGACAAGCGGCGAGGGAAGAGAGAAAGGCAAAAATGAAAGCAGAACAGCGAGAAAAGGAAAGGGAAGCAGAGGTGAGGAAAATGGAGATTGAGGAAAGAAAGGAAAAGTTACGACTGGAAGCGGAAGCAGAACAGCGAGAAAAGGAAAGGGAAGCAGAGGTGAGGAAAATGGAGATTGAGGAAAGAAAGGAAAAGTTACGACTGGAAGCGGAAGCAGAACAGCGAGAAAAGGAAAGGGAAGCAGAGGTGAGGAAAATGGAGATTGAGGAAAGAAAGGAAAAGTTACGACTGGAAGCGGAAGCGGAAGCAGAACAGTGAGAAAAGGAAAGGGAAGCAGAGGTGAGGAAAATGGAGATTGAGGAAAGAAAGGAAAAGTTACGGCTGGTAGAGGAAGCAGGCGAAAGAGAATTTGAGTTAAGGAAATTAGAGCTGCAAGCAGCAATGCCGGGGTTCCAACAGGCTGATTTTGGCGGTCAACGAAATGTGGTCAGTGATGCACAGTCACCAAAGTTGCCTGCATTTGTTGATGGTAAGGACGAACTTGATAGTTATTTATTGCGGTTTGAGAGGTTTGCAACGAATGCGAGTTGGCATAGAGATGGATGGGCCATAAAATTGAGTGCGCTGTTGACTGGTAGAGCACTGGAAGTATATTCTAGAATGTCCGACACTGATGCAGTTGACTATGATCGTGTGAAGGTGGCGCTGTTGACAAGATACGATTTCACAGAGGATGGGTACAGGAAGCGTTTCCGTGAAATTAAACCTGAAAGTTCTGAGAGTCCTGACCAGTTAATTGTGCGGCTTAAGAATTATTTTGCTAAATGGGTTGAGTTGTCAGGCACTGCAGCAACATATGATGGTGTTACCGACTTGATGGTGAAGGAGCAGTTTATTGGTGCCTGTACAAAAGATCTTGCAGTTCATCTTAAAGAAAGAGCACCCAAAGATTTAGATGAGTTGGCGGTAATAGCAAAGCAGTACCTAGTGGCACATGATCGACAGTTATCCACTAAGAACAAGGTGAGGCGTAACGATAATGACACTGCCATTGATAATACTGATGTGGGACAGGCAGTAGTATCCGGTGTTTTGTATGTCAGAGTGTTGGTCATCGAGCAGC